CTAAAAGGTAAAAAAAACCCAGAATGATTCTTATTTTCAGGTTATTATACACTAATGAAAACATACCTATGAATATGATATTCCATTTCTGTCAATAGATCCTCCTAGATGTTGTTTTGTTACATTAGAATGAACCACTTATATTTAGAGGAAATGCTTTTGCTGCAGTAGTACACCTTTTTCAATTTGTTTCACAGACAAAAAACAAAACAAAAAAACTTCCTGACAAAACAAAACCTTTTTTCACCTGTTCCTAAGTCATAAACACAGGACAGAAACCATTTACAAAAATAGATTACCAGAATTTTTTTCTCACTTCTGTAACTGATTATTTGCTGAAAAGTTTGACTATTAAACAGTAAAAGAAAAACTGAAGCGGTTACCCAGTTTAACTGACATTCCTGATGCAACAAAAATGTGTATGGGAAATTTACAGTCCCCTTTGAGGGATTTATCTACAAGTTTTCAGCAGGTTTCAACTGATTAAATCTAAGACATTTAACATCATTATGAATGCAATTTAAGATGAATTTTATGTCCATACTGGCAAAAAAGTATAAGGGTATAGAACTTTATACAAGTAACGTTAACTTCATTAATCCAATCAAATTTTAAGACCTTTAATAATGAAATAATTAATTTAATTTAAGACATTTTAAAAAGGACTACAATTCTGATGATTGGATTTTAGACTTTTTAAGACACCCTCTATTTAGTGGACATGCTGTTTTGTGACCATATAAAAAGCGCAGATAATTAGACAAATATAGCTTTGAGTCAGTGTGTAAGCACCAACATATCCACTGCTGCAGATTCAACACACTTTAAGGCTTCAGGACAACAAGCGGATATAGAGGAACTGGAGTGTTAGCCTCATGATGTGTCATTACAATATAGACCTCAAACTCCTCATCACCACTCAGCTCCTATTTCAGTGCCCTTTGCAGAGTCATGAAGGGAAATGTAGTACAAGCGGAAGTGTCACCAACCGTCTTCCATCTCCCGCCAACATGCACGCTAAACTCTCAAATTCATCACACAAACAACCTCACTACTAGAGCTTATTAACAGGGTGGAGTGGCCAGCACACCCAAACACAGGAATCCAACACCATAAATCTGTGGTCCATCAAAATTAAAGGACCTAAATAAAGATAATGGCAATTCCTTTTTCTCTGCTTCAATAATTACAGGGTATGTTCTGAATAATATTGAGGTTAGGGCCAGACTGGAGAGCATTTGGGTTTTGGGGAGAGGGTGGGATGGAGGAGTGTTTAGCAGGAAATGTGTGGGTTGGTCATTTACCACTTCTATTTTCAATGACTTATGGGACACACATAGGACAAAGAGGAGGGCTGCTGAGGAGCAGGTGGTGGATCAGACAGAGTAAACTTTTCTAAACGGCAATCACATCCTTGCTTTTCACATTTTCTCACTCGTAAAAACACTTTGATTTGTGTCTTTTGCCTGCTCATGGTTGTACTGTGGTCCAGCGGTTGTACATTAAAAAAAAAAAAAAAAATTCAAATTTTTACACAGAATTTTCTCTTCAGTCAGATGTTCACCAGTTTTACTCTTAACTAGAATTGGTGCCCCACGGTTGTATGTGTCTGCCAGCCAGTCAAGTTGCTGTTAACATCTAGCTCCAATACAAAATTCAGATTGAGGCAGGAAGTTAAAAGGCAGTATAGATAAGATGGAAAGAAGAAAGCCTGTACTGTGTACTTTAGTTTACTCATTGTGTCTGGAATTGGCCAATGCATTCTTAAATTATGGCTAAAAACCCATTATGAGACACTGACCTTTGAGTCAAAAAGTGTGACCAATTCAGTGTCCGTCCAATCATGAAATATGTTCACAATCTCCCCTTTTGTTCTTGAGTTAAGGTGTTGAATAATGGCAACAATTGTGTTTTCCATGACATTATGATGTCACAGTGAAGTTAACCTTTGACCTTTTGGGTAAAAACATGTTCATCACTTAATTAGGCCAAAAGTGTCACCAATTGAATTCAATTCAATTCAAT